GCTTTCAAAAAATCATGATATATACTTTGCTGTCTTCTTATTTTGACTGAATATATAATATTGTCATATATGTTCTGCTTAGGGTTGACACAAAGATATAGGGATGAAGAGAATGGATTTAATGGGCCGACATGAATTTATTATTGCAAAGATCTTGACCAGTATATTATATGAAATTCTGAAAGTAGAAATGTACCGTACGTCTAACTCCGTGCTGCTGCTGATACTGTATTCACTGCAGTTACTATTACTGTTTTCCAGCTGCTATAGCGGTTGAAAGAGTTTCTGATGATGCAGCTGCCGCATCTGTAGTCGCGGTTAAATGTAATAAATCACATCTGTTATTCAAGCAGTAACAATATTTATCACTACCAGGCAGGGAGGACCTGCGTCTTTGGTGAAGCTGTCACTCCTTTTGGGCTCTTTGCCGTCATGTGCAAAAGACATATGATATGAGCTCGGTATCCGATTGCGAAAGGGATCATTTTGTTGTCATTTCTTTTTTTTTAAATCGAGTGCTCCTGTCTGTTGTATGTTATCCTGTAATAAATCTACTAATCCTCGACATTTTGTAGTGCAAGTGTTACAAGTGCCGTAAAACTTAACCTAAAACAGTCTTCTAAAATGTTGTAGTTCATTACAGTCTGGGTTGGTCATGGCAGGCAGAGTTGAATGAGTCTGTCTCAATATTATGTCGATGTAAAACACATAATATAATGGTTGTAAAGCACAAGAGATCATATTGCAGATACAACGCCCTACTATAAATGCATTTGGTATTATTACCATTTTTAACTACTTATATGCGCTAGAGCTATAGGAATGCAGTTAGTATTCATATCATTTCAATTACACTTAGTATCATTATCATTATTAACCACTTCACTGTCAGGCCCACGAATTGAATTATGGAGCAGGTCTAAGAATAAAAGCGCATTCCTGCGTTTGATAAATCTCAGTTTATTAAGCGTAAAAGTCAGTGGAGGCTACTTGTTTGGTTTGAAGTTGGTGGTTTGGTCACGTCGTTTGGTCAAGGGGATGTTTGGGGATGGGTGGTTGAGAAGGGTTTATTTGTTTTGGGTAAGCCGCAAAGAATTATATGTGCTTTTACGACTGGTAATATAACAATATATGGTCGCTTTTAAGGACAAGCGGGCTAACCCAGATTTCGGGCATTTCCAGAAATCTTGTCCTACTCCAAAAAGTGGACATTGCCCTACCTATAGGAGAAGTTTGGTTTCATTGGTGTTTATATTTGTTTGGTTATAGAGAAAACTCTCCCTGTTTTCTAATGAAACTGAACAAGGGGCAAAAACTTTACCTTCGATCGGGCCAGGCAGTGAAGAGGTTAACCCTATCCGTACGTCCTGGGGTCATTTTGTACCCCCGGGATTGTATTCTTCACATTTCAAAATACTTTTAGTACGAAGATCTTTTTGAAACGTTCAGTATTTCTCAAAAAATCATTTTGACAGACTGCTATACAAAGCGTACGGGTCGAATTAACGAGTAAATGCCCTCTTTTGAAAGTGGTGGCACAGAGTTCCCCACGTTGTATGGATACGATAGTAAAACACAACGTACGGATATGGTTAATTACTTTTTTTAAGGCACGGAGACGGTGGAAGAAGGTGAAGCTGAGGAGAAAAGGCAAAAGGAAAAGCGTTAAAGACTTCACGCCGCTGGACCAGGTGAGCGTGAACGCTGTCATCAAGTTCCAGAGCATGTGGCGGGGTCACGCAGACCGTAAGCAGATTCACAGCATGCGGCAGAAGATGGACATATCGCTGGGCATGCTCATGCCACCGCCCACCATGAACATTAAGGTACATACGTATAGTATGATCAATCAATTAATTTTTTAATTTGATCCCTTGCAATAAGATATAATTGAGATATTTAGATACCCTTACCACTCACCACAAAAAATAAGATAATATTAATTCAAAAACGCGTTGTAAAAATTACGAACACAATAGATAAGATACATCTTTATTGTCCAGATCCTGACACATTGGTTTGGTCTTTCACCACGTGTACACACACACACACACACACACACACTCACACACACACACGCAAACAATCCAACAGAACAGAGTAACATTGAAGAAGTGATACCATAAAACAACCCCCCCCCC